CTCAAGGTGTTATGTTCGTCTGCCAAATAACGAACTGACTCTTCAAACTGAGAAAATGTACAAATCTGTCTGGAATATTTGTCAGATTGACTTACCACTTATGTTTATATTTTCAAAACTTACACAGTGACTTTGAACTATTGATGCAACCTAGGTTCAGTTTTTTTAAATTGAACCAGCTTAAAATGATTTACAGTGATGTTACTGTAACTAAGCACATAGCTTGTAGAACTTAATTTTAAATATAAAAGAAGAAAATAGTCATAACAACTTAATTTTTATGTGTAATCAACTTAAAAATATTGATTTTCCAACTATGGAAAATACAAGTGTAAAGCTGCTCACACCTCATCAGTGACAATTTCCAGGATCACAGTGCAGCTATCAGCACATTATCTACATGTTTCTCACCACAAGCTCAGCTTTACACATGTTTATGTTTATGATGATTATCAGAAGACAAAAGCAGGTTTATCTAGTCACCTTAAGAGTAACTGTCAAGATAATATGCTGTCAGTGACATAGGAAGGCTGCCACTCAAAGTTCATGGAGGGTAAACAGCAGTGAACACTTACGGCAGTGTCAACAGCTTCAGTAAAGAGCAGTACAGTGCTGCAATGTCTCTCGTAGTTACTATATAAACATGAGGTAAAATGAGTGTATATTGGAGTAAAAACAGCTTAACTGTTTCAAATGAACTCACCTAACCTTTAACTCCGAACTGCCCTCTCTCTCCTCTGTGGATTTGTAGTTTCAGTCAGATAGTCTCACTCAGACATGTAATCTTGGTCCACATCCTTTCCTTTCCCTCATGGATCCGTACACCTCCAGCCCCTTCACCCTGACAGTGAGGTACTTCAATTAGATTGACTGTCTAAATATGTACGGAAGTGGTTGATGGGCTGGTTTCAGATTTTGGCAGCTCGGAATATCATCCTCATACTGTATGTGTGTGTGTGTGCGTGTGCGTGTGTCTGTGTGTGTCTGGCCCTTGTCCAGGCTAGCCCAGCAATAAGATATACAGAAAGAAAAACCTGCTGCAACAGGTTCCAAAAGATCTACTGGTGTAGTCATTGGCAGCTGGCAGCGCTCTCTTCCTCCTTCTATCAGTCTTTCTTTGCCTGACTGAATGGTTACTTGTGTGAATGGGACATAAGATACACTACTGATCACAGCCAGTGGCAAAGTTCGAGCGGGCTTGGTGCCCTGGTTTCTGAGCTTGCCCATGGCAAAGGCTGTCTTAAATGTGATCTAGTTCCACTACTGCAACTGTTGCGCATAATATTCAAACTAAGTGCACAAGTACCATTTGAACGTGCAAGAGTACATGCACCTTTAAAGCTGGAGAAAACCACAAAGAAACACAAAGCAATGGCTACTCTGGTAAACAGAAGCGGCCAGTGTGAAAATCAGTAGTTAATGTCACAACTAATGGACATGACCACCAGTCAGGTTGTTGTGGTCTGCAGGCTGTGAAGTTAAACTTATTTCAGAACCATCAGGCAGTTCCTACAAACGTCTTAAGATACTCGATGGTGATGTCTCTCAAAGAATTTATTTTTTCTTGAGAAATTTTAACTTGCATTCTTTTCTGAAACCTTTATGGTGAAAGTATGAGGCTTAAAGAGTAAGGAAGGATGATAAATAGAGGAGAAAGTGAGAGAGGGAGAGGGAGTAGAGGTATGTCAATACAGGTACATTCCTATCCTATCCTCCCGATGAACCAAAAAAACATCAGCGCCCTTAGCTCGTAGCTATACCTTGAACAAACCCTGTCCTCAGCGAGAGGGTGAGGCAGAATGACAGAGAGACAGAGGATTAATTACAGATTGAATAAACTCTTGAGTTACAGTCCAAGGCCTCTGCAGAGCAAGGCTACTGCCGAAGGCTCTTTCTGCCAAAGATGGAGTTTTTGAGGAGGGTGTAATGAGGGAAGAGATTCCAGAAGGCTCTTTGGTGAAAGTCTCATTGTCTTCTGGGAAATAATTGCCCCAGTGCTCAGGGGTTTTCAGTTGCAATATCATGTTTTGCAGAGCTGATACTGACCCTTTATAATTTAAAAGCACTGAAGCTGTGTTTCTCTATACCACTCTAAACATCATGGGTCAGTAGTGTTAGGCACAAGTCAAAGTTTTAACACTCCTGATCTCAACCCAGGACACTAATAAACCTGAGACAGTTTTATATGTCCGTCTAATCTTGGGAGTCACACCCATTTTTAGTAAATTCAAATCTGATTCATGACTTTATAATGAACAAAAACAAGGGAATAATTTATGACATAATGACAGCTAACTGTCAGTGGAAGTCATAATCACACTGATGACTCACAGGTATCAGAGTGCTTTATATTCTGCAATATGCAAATCAGCTTCTGTCATTCAAGAGTAATTTCAGCATGGTGACTCATCCACTCGGTTGTTTTGATTCATCTCTCTGGATCTGCAATAGAATGAATTTAGAATGATCAGCTTGATTTAGGGGCGATAAACTACTGTCTATGAAGTGAAACACTTTGTGAAGCATTTTGTTTGTCTGACCTCACATGACACAGCAGGCACTACAGCTGATGGAAAACACCTGCTGACCGAGATGTTGTCAATGTGCTTCGAAGCATCCAATACAAATGACATTTACATGCCACAACTGCCCTTCAACAGCTGTTGTATTTTTCTATTTAGTGGTTACCAAATGTTAGCATGCTAACAAGCTAAACTAAGATGGTGAACATGGTAAACAATATATCTGCTGAACATTGTCTAAGTGCAGCCTCACAGAGCTGCTATGAAACTCTGAAACTGCTGTGCTGTTTTTGAGATATGTCAACGTATATTTGAATATGAATTGTGGCCTGGTGTTTATCTGTGATGATGTTGGTGCTGTTACACATTGTGTCACCAGTTAGCTGTGGCTGTTTGTCATTATAAGGAATTAAATTGAAGTGTACTGACATGGGAGAAGAACAAACCCCGGGAAAATTAAGCTTTGTTGCGATCCCTTGTCACAAGTTACATGTCTGTCAATGAGATGGCTATTTCATGAAGAATATCCAGTAATTCAGAAGCAATAATTCTGAACATAATGAAGTCTGACAAAAAATTTTTAACTTGATTTGGTGAAGCAGAAATATGCTTGTTTTGCTTTCATAATGTGCCGTCCCATAACCCCCCCCCCCCACCACACCACACACACACACACACATATATAATTAAATGTGTGAAGCAACATGTTTTTGAGTCCATTTTAATTGTTTTCATTAGATTACAAACAATTTTAATGATTTTCTCTAATGAAAATATTCATAAGGCTAAAGATGAGTGTAAGATCTAATTCCATATTTCATGTAATCAGAAAGCGTGATTTATGTGTGTCTTTTGAAAACTCAAAGGAAAACATTCAGAGTCCCTGAGGCAGTGAGAGGCAGTGAGATTTATCACTGAATACCTCACAGCTCAGGTTCAGGAATATATAAATTCCGCAATTACTTTGCCTGTCCCAAGGATATTTGATAATAAAATGTGCAGCTGTCTCCTCAAATGACTGTTCTCAGTATGTTATATTCACAATTACCATTTAATCACTGATTCAGGGCCCTTATTAAAAACTGCGTTCAGAAATGCTAGTACAGTCAAGTGGTAAAGCTTTCCAGGGAGTATGATAATTACAGATGGTTATGCATCATATTGATTCAAATCTTGCTACTTCTTGCACAGGGTCAGTAACATGAGTCTTAGACCAAATGTACTGCAGCATTACAACATTAAAAGTGGGATGCAACTGACATAAAAACCAATCACATCATGTTTATAAAAATACCTACAGGAATCAGAAGTAAGACAGAAGATATCATTAAAGAAAGATGTTGTCTTACCTCTGATAACAGACATCCATCACACCTTCATTGATTTCCATTACTGTGAGAACTGGTTTAACGAGAGATGGAGTGATAGTTTTTCCTTTGCCTGATGCTGTCTTTCAGTCTTCACCAGAAGAATGGTCGCTAGATTAAACAAAATGTTTTCGATTTTATAACTGCTTACTCTTTTGACCTCTGTGTAATGTAGATTCATGATTTTAAAATCCCTTCTGCTCCAGGCCTTCACATACAGCAGATATATGGACCCCTGCCAAGGAGTTCAATCAAATGTTTCCTATAATTGATTTCCCTTACCTCTAATCATTTTTGCATTCCTCCCACATTGACCCTTTGAAGGGATTTTCTGTGCTCTTGGATCTCTTTAAATCAGGGAACCCAGCATTCGTAATCCTATGGATGGCAATGAGATTTGAGCCCATTATTAAATTTAACAGTCTCAGTCAAAAACTAGAGTGTACCCTTTAACCTGCAGTCTCTCTATTCCAAATATTTATTTTCTTGGAAGCTGAATATTCTGTCATTGATAAACAACACAAATTTTTTTGAGTAATTAAAGTATTTTCAAAATTACAAGTAGTTCAGTGTGTATGATTTGCTGTAAGCATCCATATGATGTAGGAATGTTTATTCTTCTCTTTAGTGTAAAGATTCTCTCTCCAGCCAACATATATAAGACCGCAGTCTCTATACTCAGAGGACAATGATTACATATGTAACCATCTATTATGTTTAATAACAAGAATGCTTCATACCTGCCCAAATGTAGGAAATGTAGGAATTAAAATATACATTTACATTTGTTCGCAAATAGTTTTCTTTGGTAAAACTTTAGTTTATTATATTAGGATAGTGCAGCACCATTTATTACAGATGCAATGAGAAGTCACAATATCAACATTTTGCCACAATATATATTTTTTACTGCAATCTGCTTGCGATTGTTTTTAAATATTATGTTTTGTAGGTGAAAAACTACATTTTTGTCTTGGAAATAAATTATTATTATTAATTATTATCAATCTTCTGCTTTGTTGACTGTATAGAAGATGATTTATCTAAATTAACTGAACTCGGTTCAGTCAAAACATTAACAAATGGTGCTCCAGCGTTGCACAGCACACCAGGCTGTACTGGCTGGAATACACAAGGAAGTTTGACATTAATAAACTAATACACCTGCTTGCCCAGTCTTCTGTTGGTGGAATCCTGATAAATTAGCAGGTATTGTTTATGTCCCCCTTTTTCTCCCCGTGTCCATTTTCCTGAGTTCATATTCAAGGAGTTTTGGTGACATTAGCCCAACTGGGAAAGGTATTCAGCTGGAAGATCGCCACACCCCATGTGTTAATGGCAATGTTGACGGTTATGACTCCAAGAAAGTTCAGAATGAATCCAGCCTTGGCCTGGAACAACCAAAAAAATTATACAACATGAACAAAATGATATTTGGACCTTTGTCCAGTGTTTTGTCAGCACATTCAGAATAGGTCTTATACTAATCTAATAATATTGATACCAATTTCTCGAGCTACTGAGCCATGTATATGTTGCATTTGCTGCTCAGTCTGCCTGAGTTCTGTTTCCATGGTAATATTCAGAATATTGTGTGTATAAAAATACATAATAATGATCAGATATAAGGATTAATATAAGCAGCTTATCTAAAAATTGGATATGAGCCTTTATCCAAACACTGGGTGTATGTCAACACACAGTTTCCGGGTCTCTTTTCTGAAAGGTCTTACCATGTCCATGACTTTAAGGTTGCCATAGGAGAAGGCGATGGCGTTGGGTGGAGTGGCCACAGGCAGCATGAAAGCCAGCGAGGCAGAGATGGTGCAGGGAAACATGACATACAGCGGGTGTATCTTAATGGCAGTGGCCTGGAGGGACATTCACACAGATGATAATTGGGCAGGTATGATATTAAAGGTCCTCAAGAGTTTTTAGTGCTGCAACAACTCTCTTTATGTCTACAAGCAATAAAAGTTCATAATTCATACTAAGTTTTATACAAACATGTAAGTGCTTTCATTGTTAACATATGCTAATACTGAAAGAAGACAACATAGATGTGATATAACACCCTTGAAAGGCTTTTGCACACTTAGACTAAAGATTTACACTAAGGCCAAAGTAAATTTGTATGTGATGAAGATTATAAGTACTTTTTAACAGAGTTAAAGAGTTAAACAGAGTTGCAAATGATAAATATATCAAAACCAGTCAGGATTTGATTCACGCAATGATGTGTCCTGTGGTTATGTTCTCAGTCCTGCTTGTCTAAGAAAGGATTTCATAAAATTGTACTGGCAAAATGGTGCTATAACACTGTGTTTAATGCACTGGATGTATATGAGAGTAAGACTGAGTTAGTCTCTCATTATGTCTCACCATGGAGGCCAGTATTGGCAGAAAGAGAGTGGTGGTGGCGGTGTTGCTGGAACATTCGGTGAACATGGCCACCAGCAGACACAGCAGGATGGAGATGGCAAAGGGTGGGATGCTCTGCAGTGGTATTAGACTTTCTCCCAGCCATACGGAAAGTCCAGATTTCTTTAGCCAGGGTAGGAAAACACAGATCAGCATTCAAACATTTATAGAAAAGATTATCCTCAGAAAAATGTGGACTTGGTCAACTCCATTACCTCACTTCCATGAGCCAATGCAAAACCTCCTCCCAGAAGTAAAAGGATGTTCCAAGGCATCTTTTCATGGACAATGTCCCAACTAAGCAAAGGTGAAGGGGCTTCAGTAGGAGCCCCTATTAGAACAAGGACATATAGAGGAGAAGAGTTGAAATCTTTAAAGCTGACAGTTTCCTCTCAGCTAATGGTCAGGATAGTCATAAACAATGATCTATCTTAACTAACTGTATAAAAGCCTAGCCCAGCTTTTATTGTGTACGGATAAGATGCTGTGACTACAAAGGAGCTCTGTGAAGATAGAAAAAAAAGCATGATAAAGTGGCAAACCACCAAGATTCAAGAGAGCATTTGGCAATTTTTTTAAATGTGGTGTTGTTACTGGATTCATACCTTTAAATTAATTATTTTTCTTTTTCAGGGTGAGAAATGGACTTTGGCACCTCAAAGTCTGCATCACACCTTTCACACACAGTGTGTGTTAATCATTGTGTCACTTCTCTGTGTACAAAACACTCTGCTTTTCCAGTTTTTGAGGGGTATTAAAGACCTTGTTGGTTATAGTCAGGAGCAGGACACGCTCAACTTAAGTTACCAAGGGAGAAAAAAAATTGTGGATACAAAAGTAGTTTGTCTAAGGATCTGCACAGCATGTGCTGTTGTACAGGCTTGACCTTGGGGCTATCAGGCTTCAGCACAGGAACGAGTTTGTATAACGTTTATTACAAAGCACTGAATCAGCGAGACGAGTTGTCACGGGCAGTAAAAGTTATTGACTGTATCTTTGTCTGTTGTAGTGCACAGATAGAGAGGACAGAGGAGCTTATAAAACTGCAATCCTATCGTCATGTGACAGACTTAGCATGCCATAAACATAGAATGTGGTGCAACAATGAGTGGACACTGTCCATCGGGTTATCCAGACGTGCACATATACCATAAAGCATGGTTAGTCTGTTTACATCTTTTTAGTGTAAAGGTGTTTACATCAATGCACCTGTTGTACAAGTTCATAAGAACTTATAAGATGACCTACCATCCCTGGACTTCCCACAGCATCTGGGCAAATTGGATGGGATGCAGAAGAAGAGTGCTGACATTAATATGGCCACAGTACCATCTGTGACATACCTGTTGAGAAACAGCTTTTAAAACATCTATTTCACACACTGACATTACAAAAAGATTTAATATTGATTTAATTTTGATTTCTAATCATCCAATCAAACACCTGACACTGGACCTCAAAGACGGAACAGACCAGCTAATACTCTGCATTATGGAGACCAATATTCAGTGACTGATACACACTTAACAGTTGACCCAACTTTATTTTCTGCACCTAGACAGAGCCAGAGTTCCTGGTTAGCTATTCATGTCTTCACTATTTTCACTGAGGAGTTATGGAAAGCTTTGTAACAAACAGTTATACTCACGGCTTCTCTTTGTTGAAGAGCACAGTGGCCCAGCCGGGTATGAACCCGGGCTCCCTGGTAAACCACAGAAGAACCAGCAACGTGAAGATAACCAGCACACAGCTCTCAGCGAAGCTCATCCTGCCCAACTTTTTGTACTCATCTTTGATTACCTGGTAAGCTTCCCTGTCACTATCGTTCTTTGTGCCACATCCAAAGGATTTTCTCAAGCTGAAATAACACAATATGAAAATCAGTTACTGTTTTCATAATGTGGATGCTTTGGTTATAATAACAACAGAGAATGACTCCAGTCCATGAAACTTACTTGAAGCCCAGAAACATAAACTGCAGCCACAACCATGACAGAGCAAGCATTAGCACCATGTTGGGGAATGAGAAGCCAAAAAAACTTGCAAAGTTGATTATACCTCCATTTTCTGGGAAGAGTCTGTTATTGATAAAGAAAAAAACACTGAGATCAAAGATCAAACACACGACTGGACACTGTTGAGAGATGAGCGAGTCTACAACTGCCACCAAGTTATGTTTGTTAAATAATATTGTTTTGTTTCTCTATGGAAGTAAAAATGCATTAGTTTATACCCATTGCACATACTGCAGTTGTGTGCAAATGCAGATTTTTACAATCAAAAACACAATCATAACAGACATTTTTAGTGTGTTCACATTACATCCAAATAACTTGTCTAGTCCTGTGCTTAACCTGATGGACTTTTGCCCTAACAGAAGCCTTGTCTAATACATTCCTAGATCTCAACAATGCTATTTGTGGGTAAAATCAGGAATGTTAGTCAAAACTACAGGGGAACTCCATGGCTGTGAGTTGGAAAGTTCTGGTTGATTTCCACAGACTAGACTCTAATCCTGAATTCAACAGAATTTTGTTATTAGTCCACAAGCAGAAAATAAATATGCATCTAAGAAATTTGCCCATATGTGTGTGTGTGTTTTGTTTATTTGCATATGTGCAGGTCGTACTCATCAATTTGGCCCTTCAGGATGACATTAGGTGTGGTTCCAGTGAGGGTGGCTGTCCCTCCAATGCTAGCAGCATAACAAACACTCAAGCTCATGCCTTTCGATAGCTTTATATACTCCTGCTCCCTCTTCAGTCGTCGCTGCTCCATCTCTGGACTCCTCTCACAAACCTCTGGAGGGACAGTGCTGAGATCTTCAGCAAGGAAAAGACATCACAATTGTTCAAGCGTCCAGTATGTACAGTAACATGAATTTACTGCTTCGTCCTCCAGGCTTTACTATTATCTGGAAGTATTTTATGCACTGAAGACAAAGTTGTTATTGGAGTTCTGTAAAAGTTTAGTTTGATGACATATCTGCTTCTGTGAAGAAATGGGTGACATTATCAAATCTCTAGTGGTTATTTGAAGAATAAAAAATGTATAAACACTTTTCAGTGGGTTTGAATTGTACTTAAAATCACAAAAATAATAAAATTTTCCTGTAATGTTACACTTTTATTACTCTGCTTCTTCTACATCTTATCAAGGAATTTTGACCTTTTATTTTTCTTTTCTAAACCAGGCTGTTGTTTTAAAAACAAAGTTAGAAAACCTATTTGAAATAACTTTGATTTCCTTAATGTCTTTGGTGACATCATCTTTATGTGTATCTGCAAAACAACAGTACAACAGTAAAAAAAAAAAAAGGTAACCAAACATATTCTCTTCAACAAGTAAAACATAAAGTTTAAAAAGAACAAAAACAAAGACTATCACTGTCACACACACACCCATGTTGATATTGCTGTCTTTTGGTTTGAGCTCTTTATCGTCACTTCCTTTGCGGTCATCCATCTCAAATGCTTGGTTTTCCTGACCATCCTTTGCAGCAGTCAGACTAAAATCCCTCTCTTCAGCGTTGGCCTCTGTGTCACACAGCTGCTGCAGCACAGCATTTGCAATGGGCAGCATCATGGCTGTAGAGGCCGTGTTACTGATCCACATGGACAGAAAAGCTGTGGTGCTCATGAAACCAATCATCAGACTGGAGAGGACAACAAAACAAATGATTAGATGATGAGGTGAAGGTCGAAGAAAAGATGTAAAGTGATTTGAGTGATAATAGGAGTGCACACACTACGTGAGCAAAAGTACATGGACCCTCAAACATTACACCCCTATGTGATTGATGGACGGTCATTCTAAAACCAGGAGCATTAATATGCTGCTATAAGAGCCTCGAGCCTCCTTTGCAGAAAAATTTGGATCCTGGCTGGATTTGCTCCCATTCAGGCGCAAGACATGCTGAGTGATAAGACCTGGCTCACAGATGGCCCTCCACTTCATCCCAAAAGTGTTGGATGGGGCTGAGGTCATAGCTCTGTGCAAGTCAGTCAAGCTCTTCAACACACAAACTCATAAAGCCATTTTTTATGGTCTTCATTTCATGCACAAGGGCACTGTCACATTAAAACAGGAAAGGGCATTCTGCAAAGTTGAATTGTATGATGTACCATTAAGATTTTCTAGCTCAAACCATATAAAAGAGCCTCAGTAAAAGTAGACAAAGGTATGGGGGTAAGAGGGGTGTCCCCATACTTATATATATCGTAGCTGTAGTGTGTATATGTATGTGTGTGCATGTACAAAATAAGGATTCTTACAGAGATGGTTTCACCCCTACAATAAGTAGAACTTGAAGGGCAATCCTCCTGTGCAGGTTCCAGTGCTCGACAGCAATGGCCACCAGCAGTCCACCAATAAAGAGCATGTTGGAGTCTTTCAGGTACTGGATACAAACCTGGGTAAGGAAAGAAAAAGGAATGAGGAAATCCAAACAGGGTCATGTTGGAGTCTAAAACTGATTCTTGAAAAGAGACAAAAAACCCTGTCAAATCAATTCCAAAAAATGGCTTATCAGAATTTGTAATTACTGTCTACAACTGGAAATACCTCGCCTGACTCCATGACGCCCATCATTGGGAACAGAATGACAGGCAGCAGGGCGGTCACAGCCAGAGGGATACACTCTGTACACCAGTACAGTGCCATGAGGATTATCACAAAGCCACATTTTGCTTCCTGTAATGACAAACAAGGACTGTGTTACTTAACAGGATTAATGCACATACATGACTTCAGATGGTACACTTGACATGAGTGTTGATGTATACTTGAGAAAGAGAAACACACACCAAACCCATGAAGGAAACTACAACCAGAGACTTCCTAACCTTGGCTGACTCGGTTGAAAGATTTGCAGCCAGCCATTAAAAATTGCATAATTAGATTTCTTAGTAAGTAGCAGCAAGTATTGAGACGTTTTGGGCTATTTACCATCTAATTTAGCCCAAATGTCCAGAATAATGGCCCACTAATGACTTGTTATTTAATGTGAACACCAAAATAGCTGTAGCTTGATAGACTTTTGTTATGTTAAAGAAAAAAAGAGAATAAGGAAAAGGCAGTTTATCTTGTGAATGAATAATCAAAGAACTGTGAAAGGTTCATATCTATTTAAATTGACATGAATTGTGACAAGCTGAAAAGGACAGAGATCGTGGTCTTTAATCTTTGATTTAATGACACTGAATGAGCCCCTGAACATGATCCCACTTTTCAATTTATCATGGTCAAAGATTACATGGTACAAAGGGTCACTTTCAGAGGCCTTTCCTGGACATGTTACAACTAAGAAGACAGTGTAAAGCAATAAATATACTTCCAGGCTGATGTCTTTGATCCTTTTTGATAATCAAAGCTTACCTCTCTCATTTTGTTGAAATGGTCTCACAAAATTTGGGTAGATTTGGATGCAGTACAACTGGACTTAACTTGCTCTATTTTCTTTTAAAAACATACTTTGTGGATTTAATAAATTGATTTGGAAAAGACAAGAAAAGGGCAGAAATAGATTCTTCATTTGGTTCGAAATACCAAGTCTAATCACTTTTAATGTGAGCCTATATTAATACAACATCCCCAGCAAATTGCATGTGACTACGTATTAGAAAACAATGTATAATATAGTAATATAATATGTATATCCTCACCATAGATTAAAGTTTTATTCATTTGGCTTCTTCTGTAGCAACTGGTGTTGCCAGCCTCCCCAAAATCTAGGAGGTGTGTTTAAGACATGGCAGCACCAAACCGGTCTGCACACAAAATATTCCCCTTTCCTGGTGAGCCTCACCTCTTTTCCCTCCTGACTCTTCAGTGGCAGAGTGACATTATAAATCGCTTTCATTACTACCCTAATGAAAGCAGAATTGGCTCTTATATGCCTCATTAGCTTCTAAACACGTCTACAAAAACACATCTTCATATCATCCTCTACCACTAAAACAATCTCTCCTACCAGTTCCATTATGTGTCATGCACTGCTTACTTCTAGTAATCACATTACTCTTGGATTTTAAGCTTAAAAACAAATGATAAAAAAATTATAAGGTAATCTAAATAGTAGTAATAGCAGCAAAATACATATTTTATATGATCTTAGTGTGTGTTCGTATTGCAAAATACATTAAGATTACCATTACTCATGAAAAGGCTGATATTTATGATATTTAGCTTAGTTAATTTAACTTTTAAGCAAAGTGGTGATGTCTCCCTATCTAATGTCCTGTAAGGAGAGGAAAAAACAATTGAGGCATGGTGAACTGGACCCTTGTGATGAAAACTGGTGTTTAATATAATCTGCAAGAGTTGAAGGTTGACCATAATAATGAACTAGTTTCTACACTCAGGCCTCCTTAACAGAGGATTTCCAAGGTTACTGAGAATGAAGGGCACCAGGCAGGTGTGTGGATACTAGTAACCACCTGAGCACAGCTGTAGTGGACATTATTTGAAGGGGTTGCAGCTGGGAAGGCTTGGTCAGTTTTCTGTGTTTACTTAAAGTGCCTGAACAAAATTTAGAGTCTCTGGCCTTTAGGGAGAATCTACAGCACTGCTCATGTTGGTGTTTGTAGTAAATCTGGACCTGACTGGTGTTTTGTTGGGCATCTCTAAAGTCCTATCATCAGGTCCATTCTTTGATATTCTTTCTGTTATTGGTTAAGGGAGGGACAGATCTGTCATTGAATTTAAGTTAGTCTGAAGATAGAACTCGTAAACCATTCTATATTGACCTGGGCATGCCATGTGTAAGGCCTTGTCTAGAAATCTTTCTCACTTCTTCTTTAGCAGCTGAGATGTTTTGAGAGAAGCATTGATAATTTACATGACATTTCAAATAACAACAAGGCTACTCTAATCTAAAAACACATACTTAAACCTATACATATAAAGTATGTATATATAGAGTAGATTGTATAGCTGTGGTCTAATATACATCATGCAATTGGAGAGACCATCCTTATTCAGCAAATCATAAGTCTAAAATTTGGTTGCAGATGTGTCCTATGACATAAAATTACACACACACGTTCATGTTCTTACCTGGGTTGGGATGACCAGTGGCAGAGGCAGAAGCAGAAGAGGTGTCAGAACTATCACAATGTAATTCCTATACCTCCACAGCCATGAAAGAATTCCAGCCATGATCCACAAGGTGTGATGGACATCCAAAGTATTGAAGAGTCAGAGAGAAAAAATAATTAATGATACCTTTGTTCTATCTAAAAGACGGCAACATATGAAGTCACAGTTTATATACCAGTATTTACTGAAAAAAGATTAAAAATTAACTTTAGAGTGGGGGGCCTGCATGTAGAAGGTGTGTTTCCATGTGTTTAGAAAGGGGCAGATAAGATAAGCAGCCAGGAGGAATAATCTACAGAAAAAGTATCTTTTTGATCTTGACAATAAATTGTGCCAGCTGCTATGTCTGCAACAGGTGTACAGTAAATGATAAAAAAAAATGGTGATCATTAAAAGGCTTATCACAGGGCATCTATACATCTAGTCAAAGACATTCACATTATTTCACACCTATAGGCACTTCAGTAATGAGAGATTAAGATTAAACAAGGCTTAATCACTAATTGTCACAATTGATACATTCCATCAAGTAGCACAGATGTCTTAACATGGTTCACTCCAAAATAAACCAAATAAAAACATAACCCCTGCATATGCCTGATAGGAACAACAAAGTGACAAGTCTGTTGTTGTTCATCTCTTGCAGAGGGAGCAGAAAAGGTCAATCTGTAAAAAACAGTTTCATTAGATAACAGGGTTAAAGGCCTTATGCATAACTCATGTGGGTGTAGCTCATAAAAACAGTGGTGCAATTCCAAAGAAAGGCCTCACAGTAGCTGAAATGTAGACAAACCAGATCATCCTCCTGTTATATGTGTAAGTGTATCAAAGAAGATAGAGTGATGATTGATGTTTTACCATTTGAGACAACCCTGAGCTTGTATTTAATCTAGAGGGTGAAACTCCCTGACAGTCACTGCACAGGAAAATGCTTTCAGAGTCGGAGTATATAACATTTGTAATTTAAATTTTGAGTTACATTTGTATGTAATCCTCTTAGAGACTTAGAAAATAAATTCAAGAGAAAAAAGATTGTAGAGTGCTTAAAAAAACAATATTACAAAATGCTTTCAAAGATTATACTTTAACTAATTTTTAAAACTTAATATGGTGCTTGTTTTCTGCTTTGTATGGTTATCTTGCATGAATACAAAAGTGTAAATACAAAAAAATTACAAAAAAAAAAATGATAATAATGAAAATGTATAAATATGACCAAGTCAAATAAGAGTGTGTTTACTTGGGTGGTGAGACATAAACCTTGTTTAGGGACGGGGCAAAGTGGTGCCTAGCATTGGAGTGTGGGTCAGAGCATCAGAGAGTTTGATATAAATAAGGTTCAAGAAGTTAATTGTGAATGAGGATATACACAAAGATTTACCACTCAAATATTTTTGTCTGCTTAAGTTTTTATGATGGATAATTTCTTGGCATCCCTTTAGACTCAACATTTGTCATGTTGTGAATAAATGGAATAAATGGAAATTGGAATAAATGCCCTTTTTGCTTTCAGGGTGGTTTTATGTTGAATTTATAAGTATTTTTTCCGCTTTCTTAAAAGCCAAAGGGAGAGTTCAAGGAGCCTTACGTCCTAAAGTCTAACAGATTCAACAGTGCAACATCCCATTCCTTTATTTTTCACATTTTACATTAACATATGAACAGCCAAACCAGGACAATGGTTCTTCCATGATAATTATTGACATTATGAACAGACCACTTGACTTTACCTAAAAGTCTGTACCTCTAACAGTGAGGAACGTACCTTTTTGATTTCTGTATCTGCCCATGACAGAGGCATCAAATGCCCATTTCTTGCCCCATTAGTTTTAGGTTAATGAAGACCAGCTGTTCATCTTGTTGATTCATGCCTATAGGGACAAAGCAGCAAAACATTTTAAAGTGTTCTTTGTTGTTATCTAATCATTTAATCATTCTAAAAATGATTTTAGCCAATAACCTTAAAAAAACCTACCTTAGTACACATAATAGAAAGACACCTTATCTTTATACACTAATATATATATATATATATATATATATATATGGTATAAGTGATATATATATAGTATATATATATATATATATATTAAAAAAAAGGGTTATCCATTTTTATGTAAAGTTTTGATCTAAACAATTAAAGTGGGCGGTTGATAATTTAGAGATCCTATTACACTGTTCTGTCACAAATATATCACAAATGTTAAAAGTATAAGGTTGTATCACACTTGCAATTATATTAATGATTGAATAATTAAATAGAGTTATTATCATAAATTAGAACTAATGATAATCATAACACTGTTAGTATACTATTAGTATTTTGGTTGCTGTCTAATTATTTCTCTGGTGCATCCTTCACAGTATATATTGCGCATATTATTTTAAATATCTTAAAAGCATAAACCTAATCCCCATGCAAACAAAGAAAACTACAATTCACACACAAAAGGAAATGAGCCATCCAAATACAGTTAACTCGAGCATTCAAAACAAGTCTTTGCCAAGCATCACAAGTCACGAATTTTTTTATTTTCAGCATTGCTCTGTAACTGTTTCTGTCAAAGTGATCTGAACAGTAATAGGATGTGTCATGAGGATTTTTTTCATTTATAGGCTAAAAAAAAGAAAAAGAAATAGGCTAAATGACTGATTATAAGATTGCAGACACCTGTGATACTAATTGAAGACAATAATCTGCTTGAAATAGCATTACAATCCACTTATTTACTAACCACTTCACATTTTTGTAGAATAAACAAAAATTCAGCTCTTTTCACAGCTGTTTTGTTATTCTATGGAAAACCCCTAGTGTGTGCATGATAAAATAGCCTTTAATCTAACACTTTTCAGGAAGAGCTGGGCTTTGTTTCAACGAGGCTAAAAGTGTTGGCACGGATAACAACTCTGTTAGCCACGTCTCAACATAGTATAAATCTCAGCAAAAAGATAAATTGAACTGAAGTGTAGTTCACCTCTTCGTCCAGGTGGCGTTGCTGAGTTCACGCTTTATGTGCTCCAGTATCGCTTCCTTTATTTAGCTGAGCTGGTAGATAAATTACCGTCAAGCTTATTTTACATAAACCCAAACAGAAACACCAGCGGCGTGAACAAGCTAGCATTAGCATGATTAGCTAGTTAGCCACACGACGACACCGTTACAGAAAAGAGCAGAGAGCGGGTTAATGTGTCGCTTCTGTCCGATTCTTCTGTGAACACCGAGTTAGTAACGTTAGCGCTGTTAATGTTTACAGTTAACCCAGGTCGACATGGACGAGTCGGACACAGCAGCGATCCTTCCCGGCGATGTCCTCAGCGCAACATCAACGGGCGACCAAATGTCGAACTCAATCGGCCACAAAGATGAGCCCGACGTACCGACCACCGGCTCTGTACGACCACCGTTTACATGCTCGCTGCCGATTTCAGTGGAGCCAGTGTTGTTCCTCTCCATGTTTTCTCTGGCCCTGCAGGCGCCGCTGTCCACTCAGTATCTGTGGGACCGCATCAGCGAGGACCTCGGCTACAACGGCACCAAGAGGTCGGAGTGCAGCAATGGCTCCGTGACCCCCGACCCCCTTCAGAAGGTAACGGTAGTCCAATATTACATTCACATGGCAGCATGACTCCCAGTGTAACCAGTCTGCTGCTGTTGGCAAAATCTATGGGTTGGATGGGGGAAAAAGCAGTGAACAGTTACATTTTTCAGTGTTCATATATAGGATAAAAGTTTTAATAAATCTAACACATTGTTTTAAACTGTCTTTACACTCTCCCTGTTAATCTAGCATAGATTTGACATGTGTAAGTATAGTGGTTTTTGATCTAGACCTGTTAAGGTTTTTGATAAGTACACAATCTTAAAACTTCCTGACAAGAATGAAGAATGATAACGTGTTTTTGTCAGGAGGTGGAAACCTTAACAGCCCACTGGAACTTGTACATCAGCCTAGTGGGCTTTTCTGTTGGCTTGTTGGTGGTGCCTTTCCTGGGCTCTTGGAGTGACCTTGCAGGCCGTAGGCCCGTCCTCATCCTCCCCAACCTTGGCCTGGCGCTGCAGGCAGTGGTTTACCTCGTGGTGATGTACCTGAAGCTGCCTGTGGTCTACTTTCTAGTGGGCAGAGTGCTTAGTGGCCTTTCAGGTGACTTCAATGCCATCCTGGCAGGCTGCTTTGCATACGTGGCTGATACCAGTGACAGAAGGTCCCGCACCTTCAGGGTGGCAGTGCTGGAGGCCTGTCTGGGTCTGTCAGGGATGCTGGCCAGCATTATTGGAGGGCAGTGGCGTCGTGCACAAGGGTAAGAAATGTGGGTTGTTGCAGTCACAGTATTTAGAGAAGTATCATTCACACTATTGGACTTAACTCAAAATCTTTGCTATCTGAAGTGGTAAATAATACCATTAATGTTTATGCCTGTATATAGGTACATCAATCCATTCTGGCTGGTCCTCGCCACCAACTTGGCTGCAGCTCTGTACGCTTACCTCTTTGTCCGCGAGTCTGTCCTGCCTGACCCAAGTGCAAAGCTCCTCACTACTCGCCACCACAAGGCTGTCTGGCACCTCTACTCAACAGGAGGCAGTAGCAGTGAGGGGGGTGGAAGATTTCACAGATGCAAGCTGTGGCTTTACACACTGTGCTTCTTTCTGGTGGTGACTGTACACTTTGGCAGCAGGGAGCTGTATGTGTTGTATGAACTAAGCTCACCACTGTGCTGGGGACCAGCCCTCATTGGCTATGGATCAGCAGCTCAGCACCTGGCCTACTTGAGCAGTCTGCTGGGACTGAAGATCATGCAGCGCTGTCTGGAGGATTCCTGGGTGGCTCTCGTGGGTCTGGCCTCCAATATTACTGGACTGGTGGTCTTCACTGTAGCTGACACCACCCAGCTCATGTTCACAGGTGAGAGGCTCTGGAGTGAGATAATTACCTTTTATAAACATCTTGTAAACAAAGCATAATCTGCCTTTATAAGACATGATGACATCTTTGACCAAGTAAAATCATTTCCTGGGATTATCTCTCGCATTAAGATTTAATGTGTCCTTTTAATTTAATTATCATCCATTAGTGCAAACTCGGCTCCAGCAAAAGGTTTTGAAAACCTGCACAGTCTTTTTGGCCACAGGTGAAAATGATCTCACTTTATCAGACAGATGCTGTCATGATCACAACTCAGCAAGTGACAGACTTAACAAGGTGTCAAGCTGAGTATGTTGGCAACCTCAAACACCAGCCAATAAAAAAACTCCCAAGTATCTTCTCCTCCCCTCTGAGCTAGGATCTGTGAAGAAATTTCTCTGTTCATAGCCCATGGGAATAATTAAGATTATCCACAAAGTTTAAATTTGCAACGTAGTGAGGATTTCAGAGATTAGTTGCGCAATAATGTACGGACCATCGCAGTTCAAAATGAGAAAATATTCATATAAATATAAAAACAGAGGTGAAAATCTTAGCAATGGTCTCTATCTGTTAATATTGTTGGACAGTAAAATTTCTTTTAGTAATGTTAGTAAATACAAAGCAGTCTCCAAAAGTGTTACACTTGATTATTTGACATTAATAAATCTCTTCATTTGTCTGCCACTAGGTTATGGTCTATGTTTTCTCTTCATGGCTGCGACACCTGTGCTCAGGTCAAAGCTGTCAAAGTTGGTGGACCCATCAGAGCAAGGTCAGTCACTGATCAAGTACAAATACTCCACATGTTTAAATCAGATTGTTTGTAACAAAGAAAACTATGCAATGATTTAAAGATGCGAGAATTGTATTAAACCAGTATAGTGTTAGAAAAGGAGAGTTCGCTTGTCTTTGTGTTGTTTGAATTAGTCAATGAACTATATTTAGATCAGTAATGCAACAGTGCTGTTTGATTTGAAGCACATGTACCTTTTTCAGGAGGGCCAGCTTGTGTCCTGCAGGTTGTATACATAATTGTGTGTTTGTGTTTTCTTCCAGGTACCCTGTTTGCCTCTGTCGCCTGTGTGGAGAGCTTATGTTTTCTGGTGGGAAGTGGCGTTTTTAACTCGCTCTACCCAGCCACACTGCATTTCATGAAGGGCTTTCCCTTCCTTTTTGCTGCTATCATCCTTTTCATCCCCGCTGGAATAATTGGGTGAGTCTGCTCTTCTCTTATTGACTCTTTTCCTTGTTTTTAATGATGGATTCTATTTTAAAAAAACAAAGAAATTCTTAACAAATGCCTGTGGAAAAAAACAGAAAATCTAAATCCACTCCTTTTTAAATGACCATAATATAATTATTTTTATGTTTGTTTTTCTAGGACCCTGCAATGTTTAGACCAGAGGAGAGACCACAGAGAGTCCACAACTTCCTGACCTGCAGAAATGCAGAGGGAACCTGGAACCTCTCACAGTTAGACCTCCTGACTGAGGCTAGTGAAAAACCTCTTTCATCTTAATCAGCAGTTACTGGATACTGGGGTTTTTCAGATCTTTACTGGCCCAAAAAACTCACCATGGTATTCCCTTATTTCATCATGGCATTCAAACAAATGGTGTTGTGAACAAGATTCTAGACATGATTCACATTTTCAGTACAGTGTAACGAGTGCCAAAGAATGTGCCTAACATTTCCATTTTTAATTTATTAATTTCAATAGCTGTAATGGCACACTGTGGTATAAAGTGCTAACCATAAGAGGAAAATTCCTGAAGTCCTCTGTTGTGCAAGAACATATCAAGCATGAGTGCAACGTAATATGTCTTCAGAAGTTCATTTATTCATTGCAAGATTTTAGATCACCTGACACGTGTGGTTCCTAATTACAGTAGTAATCAGTAAGTGAGACGTCCTTGACATACCTCTGTTTCCTTCCTGAAAAGATCACCACAGAGGTCCTCTTACAGAAAGAGTGGGGAAATACACTCTTGCCTTTTGTATCTAATAGCTGCATGTTAATAATATTTTTCAAACCATTATCCTGTCAATTAACCCTTTCATATTAACAATGGAAGTTCAAAGTCGATTTTTCCAAATGTTCGTCTGCATCTTACCAATCGTTATACCTCATGCTGGAACATTGCAGAAACACATTAAACATGGGGGATCATCTTACTATCTTTAGCCGTTTTTCCAAATCGATAATCACATATACTAATTCACTAATTCATGATACAACCAACCCAGCTCTGTAGTCTGTGAAACCTATTCTGCTAGCTTGCTAACACCAGCTACTTAATTAATGATGAAGTTGGTGCAAAACGGTTCAGTACTTTTTGCATAATCATGCTGACAAACAAACAAAAAGCAGACACAGGTGAAAACATAACCTCCTTGGCTGAGGTAAATATAATTAACAAATACATTATGATGTATTTTATTATAGGTAAGATAAGACTTTATTGATCCCTGGGGGAGAAATTCACAAGCTACTTCACAGTATATTAAGTTGTTAAAATGAACCCCACTTTTACCAGCTGCAACATGAACAAGTGATGTTTACATTAGTTTGTCATGTATAACATTCCTATAATATAACACATCCATTATTCTGAAATGGGTCATTCTGCAAAATGGGTACTTTGGTTTGGTACTGTAAATACTGATGCTAATACTTTTGTACTTTTACTTAAGTCAAATTTTGATTAGTATTTCTACATTGTGGCATCAGCACTTTTACTCAGGTTAATAATCTGAGTACTTTTACACTGTCTGTTCGGTCTTTTGAGTGGAGAGTCAGCCAGACCTGAAGTGGTAGAAGTGGTCCATAAACAAACCCTCAAATGAAGTCATTACCCTAAGATTCATGGCATAACTCCGTAAGCAGATAGATCGTCTGTGCCAAACATGTCCAACCCAGCCAACCGTAATCCATAGCAGAGAGGGTAAAACTGCCCCAGCGAGCGGGGATTACTGAGTTACACCTCGACATTCCTCCCTCCCTCCTTTTTCCATAAAGCAAATAGCACAGTCCAAACTCCCCAAAGAGTTCCCCCTCCCACCACTGCCACAAACAGCACTGGATAGTCCCAGAGCACAGGCCCACAGCCAACATGCACACAGGGGTCACGTCCTAGTTGCACATTGAGGAAACAAGAGCTGCCAAATCAGCTTTAAAATGCACAAAGGGAAGTAACAAGGTTAAGTGAAGCATCAACTGAACTGCTGTGAGTTGATTTGCACAAAGATTATTTTTGACACTGGGCAGCAGTTTGGTTAGATCATGTGATCAAAGTCGATCTTCAAACATACTGTGCGATAAAACTGACCAATAGAACTGTCTGTTCTTTGTCATAATCACTATATTATTAAATTATGATCATTTTATTTATTTGAATAGAACTGGATTATTTTGCAAAGTTTGTGATAAAGATTGTGGTTTAATTTGTTTCCAGTTACATGTCACATGTAATTAAGTGAACTTCAAATGAAGGATTTCACTGAATTTTCACAACACATTTTATTTTTTTATCATGTTTCAAATAAACCAAATTATGTTTGTTTCACACTGAGACCATTAAAAACACATGATTAAAAAATGAAATCCTGTGTTGCTGGTTGAAAAAAAAGTCAATGACAATTACACTGAGCATTTTCAATAAATGCTTTGAGGTGGAAATTGGAGGCAAACAATATTAAGGCAAACTCAGATAAAATCCCTGCAGAACAGCTGTTGCATTCAGGCTATAGTAATGCAATTTTATAGAACAATATGCGACCAACACATCTAGATAAGTGCTTTAGTGAATTTGCAAGATTTAACAAATGTTAGTTGGTATTTATTTCAGCATCATCAAAGCAGGTTTTTTTCTTGCTGTTTTATGTACACAGGTGTACAGCTACAGTAGTGGTTTGCAACTGGTCTTTTATTCTCACAAGCCTCAGTGTATCACATTACTGCATATTATTTTTTTATTATTATTCAACTGCTTCTATTAAATACACTGAGGGAACAAGGGTGAAATTTCAACTGCCAAGTGGACAAATAATTACTCAACAGACTTACCACTGGTGAATAAAACCTCAAGTCAACAGTATTAAATCATAGTTTAATGTATTGCACTATGTTGCTACAGCAGTCAACAAGACACAAATGGAAGTATCATTTTACAGGAGTTACTGGTGCATTTTTGAGCATTTAAAGTTATTTCAAAGAACTTTTTTTTTTTATCCACTTTCCGGAAGGAAGGAAAAATTTAATACCATATGCAGGTTTTCCATTGACTGTACACTCCTTAAATCTTGGTTAAATTAGGTGTGCAGATATATAGGATGTAGCTCATTTATTTCTGTACAGTATGCCTCCAGCTTGGATTACACCCACCGTGGATACTCATCATGAAACCAATTCAATGCTGGGAAAGGTTTCTTTTCTATCGCAGCCTAAACAAAAAAACAAAACACAAATGTCAGTAAGAACTGCTTTGGTCCTGTGAATGTTTTGTAAATGGGTTAAATAAAAGATGATTGCCTATGACTTCCATGACAACTGAAGTGTTAGTGGATGCCTCCAAAATTGCTATTGATGATTTTGCTGGGTGCCAGTGGCGGCTGATCTATCACAGTTCTTTTCCTGAGAGACAAAAGGCTTATATTGTACCTGATTACACATATACAGCAGTGTGTGGATACTAACATTAAAGGCTTAGAGTTTAGCACATACAATCTCAACTCCCTTTTTTTAAATTCCATTTATCATTTCCAATATATTAGGTCTATTTTATATTAGGTATTAATGTGAGCATGTAATCTAAACGCAATCAAATTCACTTCACGTGCATTTGGGCAGAGCAGGGGAAGCTGCCGGCCAGTTCACCTTAGGCCATGTGGAATTTGGCATCATTGAAAGTTATTAGAGCTGAGTTCAAACTCTGCTCATGTCACTTTATTTGTTTTTCTGTCCTTTGGAGGCGTCTGGGCCATCAATTTGGTCTTGGTGTCCTTTCAGAAAGCGAAGGATCTTCTCAATCGTCGCCTCCTGATATTCATGGGACCATCTGTGTCAAAAGAAGGGATATTTAACAGATCTGCTAATCACCTGTCACAAACAATAAAAAGTTAACCAGTGTATTGATAAAATATTCATGGAATAAATATAAGGCTTTGAAAGATTAATAATGTTTGCACTAAGAGGGACAGTGGAGTCACCACACAACCACCTGGGATGACAGGGATTTCCCCCACAGAGCTGTGTGGTCAACACAAAAATGCACCGTCTCAGTTACTCACTTGATGCCATTGAAGTTGAGTATTGCTCTCATGTCCTCTGGCAGAGACATGGGGTCTGGCCACATAAAATTATCTGTGACAGGAACGATGTTCTTCTTACAAGCCAGGGCCGTGACTATCTCCTGCAAGATAAACAGTAATTTCTTTGAGCCTATGAACTACAAAATATGATGTCATGTAAACGCACAAATGACTAGAATCATTTGTAAAGTCAAAAAAATAAAATCATCTGAGCCCTCGTTTTTGTTTCGCTACTTCACTGTAAATTGAACAGCTCATGTTGGGAATATAGTGCGAACTGATGATTGGATTGATAAAATTGTACATGCACTTTTAATTCTTCAGGTATTCTGCAAAATAATGGATGGTGAAATTTTCAGACCTTGTTACAAGGACAGTACCACCCATTTTGCAAAGCTAAAGGTAGCTAGTAGTACATAACAGAGTGTATAATCTAGAGAGAAAGAGGTTATAGATCATATTGCAAGGTCAAAAAAGGAACACTAGGAATTTTTAAATCCCAAAATACTACCCAAAGACAAATGAATGTCATAAGGGCTTTTAAGCAAAAATGAGATATAATGAGACCTGACATTTCAACAGGCCCTCCCATTTGGGGAATGGAAAACTTCTGACCTTATGCACCCAATCTTTCATGGCAGTGTCTCCCATGCACTTGTCCAGCGCGTTGGCTGACAGAACCAGGATGAAGTTACGCGCTCGCTGTACGCTCTGGATCAGTTTGTCCTCGAATTTACCGGCCTCCAGCTTCTCCACATCTATGAAGACGCTGTATCCTCGAACCTGCATGTGCACCTTCAGAAGGCTTGAAGAGGAAAAGGAAAGAAGAAAAGAAAAAGTGAAAAACTTTTACGTAAGGATCAATACAGACAGAATTTTTTATTTTACCGCAATACATGTGACTTCTGCTTGCTCCCTGGTTTTGAATAATTTTCTCTCTCTGAATGACCTCCTCTTTCACTAATCCTGTTTCAGTTCTTACCTAGCTAGCTGGGAGCCAGTAGTTCGACGGTAGCTTATGAAGACGTCGGGCCCTGCAGGTTGGGCATCTGTATGGCAGGGTTTTATAGGCCTGCGGCTAGCAGACAGTATCTTAGCTCTGTGGACTCCGTTGTCTATGCAGCAGTCATGCTGAAGCTGCTGATCGGTAATGTTCTGGACGCTGTTGCGATCCACTCCTGACTGGACCAGACCGTAGGTGTACTGACGGAAACGAGGGTCCACCTCAACTAACCAGTCAGCAATGTTGTTTGGGTCACATGTGGAGTAGTTGGCATATGTTTTCAACACACGCAGATCTCTCAGAAACCTGGAGAGTTTAATTGAAACGGTGAATGAGACAGCGTTTGCTTTTGCTGAGATCCTTGAGTTGAAGAGTTTTTACCACTTGCCTTTTTCTGGTGAGGCTTGCAGTCATGCCCAGATCACTGCTCAGATCCTGGTCCGTGATGTTCAGCAGGAGGTCTCCATCCACCTGCAGCTCCTATATAATAAAATAAATAGAAATATGACAGACCAACTCTTTAAGTGAGCTGTTGGAGAAATGAATGGGGAGATCTGTAGTCCCAGGATGTGATGATGACTCTTAGATATATACCCACCTGGAAACGGTCACAATAGGTACTGAAGCCCACTTGCTGCAGCCACCTCAGCACCTCACAGGTTTTCCAGTTGGGAACACATGACAGGATACGTTTTGGCACTTCCTCTCCCATCATGCTCAGCGCACGCTTGGCAAGGCCACAGGCTGTGCCATTACTGGAGTACATGGCGATTCGTTTTAGGCTCTGCACCGCTCCAATCTCTTGAAATATCTTGAAACAAAGTGGACAAAGTGAAACTCAGTGACATCAAAGCTACCAGACAGCGCTACCTATAGTTCTGAGCTCTATGTAAAGTGGACAGTGATTGTACCTTAGTGTTGCGCTGACGAGACTTGATGCTGGTCTCAACACAAAGGTAAAAGGTTGCAATGCACTTTCCCTCCAGTCTTGTGCCATCCAGTAATGGCAAGAGGTGCTGCAGATCAGATGCTGTCCTCCCCTGCATGCTGTCTGCACTGTCCAATAAACTGCGGGCAAAGTCATCCGGATCCAAAGATGCAATGAACGGCTCCACCAGCTCCAAGGTCCCAGATTTCACCACCTCCTTCTCAATTTCTCTGTTTGCAGCCAACACAGTCACAGCCAGGCATGCGTGGAAACGAATAAGTTCATCCTCTTTGGAAAAAGCCAGTGGGAAAAGCCACTCGGCTGCCTGTTTCTCAATCATCCATCGCTGGCAGTGGTGACCTCCATACATGGCACAGTTAGCTAGGGCCACAGCACAGTGTCGCAGCACAGTGGGATCTGTACCCCGGCACCAGAAGAGGAGGGCATCCAGGGCACCGTTAGTTATGAGGTGGATGGACGTCTCCTCAGTGTGTTTGAACATGTGCTCCAGGATCCCCGAGACGCTGCGAGCCAGCTGGGCATCTTCCTGCTGTCGGGTCAGGTTGAGGATGACCCCCAGACCCAGACGAGCTACATAATCTCTGTCAATAGAAATGTAAATGTGATGAAGACAAAACTTGATTCATATAATCTCATAGGTAGAGTGACAGAAATTCATGTGATTATTAAAGAGAACAAAACAAGGAAAAATATATTTATACATATAGTTATAAATCAGCTAGTGCAGAAACAATTAGTCAATGATCTGATTATCAAAAGAACATTTTGACAATTCAAGATAATTTGAATCATTTATTTGGTTCAGAGTTTGTTTTGTTCATTCCTGTGCAAAGAAATAAAACAGCTGTCTAACTCACTCCCAACAGAAACTGATCATTTAAATATTCAAAAAGGTAACCTAATTTTCATTGCAGGGCTGTTGTAGTAGCTTATTACAGTGTTCAAGTGTTGTCCACCCTTGTTCACACTGTACCTGTTGTCTGAGATCAGTATCTGCTCCAGCAGTTTTGCAGACTCATAGGTGATCTCTACAGCAGGTGTCTGTTGGAGCTGAAGCAGCAGCTCCAGGCCTCCATCCAGCCGGATTCTGTTGCAGATCTCCTCGGCCACTTGACGGCCTACAGTCGGCAAAACCCATGCCTCCTCCACTAGCTGAAAGATCTCCGCGATGGCCCTGCGGGTCTCATCTGAATCAGAGGTTTCTTTGGCCGACTTCAGCCTCCTGATGGCGCAGCGCAGGGCGGGGAGTGAAGTGTCCAACACCGCCTGGACGTCGGCATTGATGCCCGGAGAGACTGCTCTGGGGTCGGATCCGGATCCGCTCCTCCCTCTCTGCAGCCGGCTTACATAATCCGGGACGGTGAGTCTCTCAGAGCTGAACATGATGGATAAGTGTCGATAGAGCCTCCACAGAAAGAGCGTTAGAGAAAAGAGCATCTACCGGCACAAACAAGTGTGATCAGCGTCTGTGGATGCGTGCTGGCCTTCAATTCTGCAGTGTGTTTGTTTACAAAGGCCTGGCTGCAATCCTGTCAGTTAGCCAACATCCAATCTGGTTGTCCGATTTATAAACACAGCCGACTCCCACAGATGCGTCGAGCAAGGGCCTGAGATGTAAATCAAAAGTGACAGTTTTCACCACATTGCATCACCGCCCTCTGTATGTCATCCCTGGCTGGAAGCCGACGAAGACTCATAAGCAGATCCTGAGCAGGTCAGAGGATGTTTACGCACAGTCATCCCTTCACAGCTGTTTTGTCTCTTTCATCCCAACGACCAACAGCTGATTTAACATCACTTCCAAAAAAGTGGCCTTAAAAAAGCCAAATCTCAGCGCACACACAGCCTCAAACTCAAAGGCTTGGAAGCAAATCCCAAAAACAAAACTATTGTCTGTTTCTTCTCCTGCATTCAAAGAGGTTTTGCAGACAAAGAAGGTCTGTTTATCTCATGCAGTTTTTTTTCCTCCCACCGCATCCGACGGCTTGTTTCCGGCAAAAATATAAAATATGACACCGCTCCTCCAGCAGCAGCCCCCTCCCTACCGCATCTTTAGGGTCAGTCTCCGCAGACCGTCAGGATGTTCAGGGGTCTGCACCGCCCACCAGCTTCGAATACTGCCGGTGATGCATAAGAAAAGAAGCACCCCCCCTCTCCTCCCTGCATCACAGCCGGCCAGAGCTCAGAGCATGCTCATCATGACCAGAGATGTGTGTGAACACCACCGCCCCTTGCTGGAAGAAATGGAGAAAAACCTCTGAGTCGCACCTTCTTTGTTTCCCAAAATGTGTTGTGTGCATGTGAAGAATGCAAGCCTGTATTATTTTATTAAAGGAGTTTAAATAAATGTCACGAGGAATTACACTGGTACTACAAACTTACCTATGAGTTCGCTACTACAGACAATTTGAAGAATTTTGATAGATATGAAGAAATAAGATTTAGATTTTAAGATTAAGATGCAGTATTTTAGTAATAAAAAGATATTCTGCTATATGCATCAAATATGCCTGAAGTGCGTGAACATGAAGAAATTTATGCAAACTTTACCCACATATTTTGGTCATGTGAAATGTCAAAAATCAAATTGGATCTGTGTCAAATGGGGAAAAAGGTGTGATGCATCCTGAAAGAATGGATAAAAATGAGAAATATTGAGAATAAAGTAATTATTATAAATTTGAGGCAAAAGCAAAGTGTGGTCCCAAATGTGGACAAATGGAAAGATCAAATCTCACAAATTTGGCAATGTTGACCTGCATAAAGTGAAATCACTGAGGCAATGGGCATCATATGTATGACGTATTAATGCAAATACTGGGCTTTACTGCATTAACACTTTTTTTCTTTTTTTTCTTCTTTTTTTTTTAAACATTTTATTTTTGTAGTTCCACTCAATTATATAATTAGTTTGCACTCCTACTGTTACGAGGCTTGATATTACTTGTATGGTGGTGGTGATACTGGTTTCCATGTAATGTGGAAACACTGTGGGTGTGCGGTCAGGCACAATGAGACACCAGGAGAAGTAGCAGTTCAATTCCAACCATTACAGGTTTATTTGCAGTCTTTCGAGGTTATTTGGACAGGGAACAGGTAACTGGACAACAATTGTTGCTGGTTTTATCTCTAAACAGAAAATATAAATCATGAATTAATTCCATTAAAAATATATAAACTCAGAGAGTCATGATATAAAGCAACTACTAACATAACTTGAACATAACTAACCATATACTACAGGGTTTAAACAACAAAGGAACTCACATCACACTCAGTCATACAACTGTGACCAGAAGAGCCCGGGGTTCTGCTGCAGGTAGACAAAGGAGCTTGCACCTGAAGTCAATCCTTCTTATAACCTCTGATTCCTCCAGCCCCTCCTCCTTCTTGTTCCTCCTGCGGCGGCTCCTCCTCTAAACCTGCTCTTCACAACACGTACAACCGTTAAAACATGGTGAATTTGGGTTATGAACCCAGTAAGGATATTATTCATAAAGTAAATGTATGACAATAAAGCATAGAAAAGATTCTTTTGCTGAAACTACTTAAGTAAAAGCACTAAATATTAGCTGTAGCTACATTAGAGGACAGGGGAGTAATATCCTCTGTACTTTTAAAGAAGTATTTAAGTAAGTATGAAAGTAACACATTTTGCAATAAAAGTACAAAAGTAGAGTGGTCAGAGGTCAACAGATAATCACATGGGCTAAACTTTTGTTTCCTGTTGATCTCTTTCTCGCTGTGTGTCTCTGTTTATGTGAGGTTTGCAAATAAAGTTAAAGTAAACAAGTGAGTGGGGTGACTGACACATGTTTTCAATGATTGGGAGCACACCGCCCATCATTACATTCTCATTCTGTCCTCTCACACAGCAGAGGCAACATGAGGCTGCGGGCTGTCCTGCTGCTGGCTCTGCTCGCTGAGACTTTTGCTGCAGATGGTAAGTACAGCATTTAAAAAATCACTTTTAAAGTTCACAGAGTGTTTGTTGTCAAAAAATGAAGGAGCATTACTGATTGTTAATCCATCAGTTTAGCTTTATAATGTTACAGTTCGACTTGATAATGTGTCGAAGTCCCAAATGCATTATGTCCTGATTTAACTGTACATATTAACACATGACCAGAACACACAGAGTATGTGTGTGTTTTGGACACATGTATATCTCATTCAGAGTATATTTCTTTCATTAACCACAAGTACATGTTGATTGGATAAAATAATTAACATTAACAACATATTTATTTAATTACATTCTTCATTTGTTCAACCTTGAGACCACAGTGTGATCCAATCAGAGGTACTAACTTTGTTTGCCCTGTATACACAAATACATATATATTTGTTTATTACAGTCAGGACTGCTACTAATAATCGCATTAATTAATAGTTAATCTGATGATTATTACAATTAACCAATTGATCATTTAACACATAAAATGCCAGAAAATAGTGAAAAATGTCCCTCACAAAAAGCCAGAACACAAAGTAATGTCTTCAAATATCTTTGAAGTTTTCTGGTTTTGTCTGACCAGCAGCCAATCAAGCCATTGTCAGAATATTTGTTGTCTGTTGATCAGTTAGCTATTTGTTTCAGCACCAATTACAATTATTACAAATACATAACAGGATGAGATGAGCAGGCATTAAATATACAGAGAAAAAATACTGTTAATGATAAAGAACAACACATCCCATGAGCTATAATCAAATCAAATCCAATTTAATTTAATTATCCAAATGAAGAAGATCATTAAGTCAGTAGAAAAATACATCAAATAGAGACAATCCACTTTCTTTAACTCTGTCATCTTAAGAGTCCTGTATGGGTCGCTGTGAGAATGGCTTTGACTCTCAGAGGAGCTGCCAGTGTGACTCGATGTGCAAGTATTACAAGAGCTGCTGCTCTGATTTTGAGGCCACCTGTGGCATGACGAGTAAGAAACCTCTACGCTCATCTGTTAAAAATACAGTCATCAGTCAAAATGGTGCAGCGAAGGATGGCTACTGATATCACATCTATCCCCCTCCAGCTCGTGGAGACACTTTTGTGTTGGCAGAGGATGATGATGATGAGGTGCTTGAAGGTCCCACTCTATCCCCTCAACGTTCAGCACAGTCTCTTACCCCTGTGGTTCCTCAGCTGAAGCCCACACCGGAGTCCATCTCAGATTTCGGTCGCAGACCACAGCGAGGTCCAGAAACCACACTTGAAATGGCCAAACCCCAACGACTGACGGACACCATATTTCAGATAGTCCCTGTTAGACAGATGCCACCCATTTCACACACAGTCCTCCCTGCACAGAGCGTCCCCTTCACAACCGAACCGCCTGAGATTGACACAGCAGCTGAGACAACCACTGTTCCCGTCACAACAGCCACCACTGAAGCTCCCGACCCAGACGCTGAGGTCTGCAGTGGGAGGCCTTTTGACTCTTTTATGCAGCTTAAAAATGGCTCTATATATGCCTTCAGAGGTGAGTGACTGACAATGTAACCATCTAATAATCAAGTGGAGTAATCTGTCTTTTGATAATGAGCAAAACTTGAGGTTTAATTGTGAGTCTGCCTTTTGCCGCAGAGGAACTATACTGAGGTATGTGATTTTTCTGTTTTGGGGAAACATGGTCATGAACTTGTGTTTTTAGGGGAGTACTTCTTTGAACTGGGCCAGAAGTCGGTCATTCCCGGCTATCCAAAGCTCATTAAGGATGTGTGGGGCATCGACGGGCCAATTGATGCTGCTTTCACCCGTGTCAACTGTCAAGGGAAGACCTACATCTTCAAGGTGGGGGACACAGAAAATTATCAATATAAGCAGTCAACAGTATGTCTGACCACAGAAAAAAAAAATTAATATTGAAAGCAATCAAAACTTTCAACAGGGAAACAAGTACTGGAGGTTTGATAATGGCGAACTGGATGATGACTATCCTCGTGATATCAGCGTGGGCTTTGACAAAATTCCTGATCACGTGGATGCAGTGTTTGCTCTCCCCGCCCCTGGTCACCATGGAAAAGAGAGAGTCTATTTTTTCAAAGGTGCAGCCAGATATGACACAATAAATTCAGATACTTCCGTGAAATATTTGGCGTATTGAACATGTGATAATATGGAAAATACTCATCTAGTACTCAACCATAAAGTTGTTTAAATGTCTTCAAAGATTTTCATTTGGCATCTTGTTGGTTTCTCCAGGGGATCAGTACTATTTGTATGAGTTTTTGCACCAGCCGTCTCATGAGGAGTGTATCACCATGTCTGAGAGGTCTCCACCCACACTATTCAGGCACTACACAGACGTATACTACAACAACTATGAAAATTTTTTCAGAGAGCTCTTCTCCAACTGTGAGTTGTGCTGTTATCAATCACTTGTACTTGTTTGGCGTGGAGGCAGGTGTTGTCATGTTTACAGCTTAATGTTTTTCTAACCTTCTTCAGTGCCTCAGCATCATGACAAACACCACTTCATTAACAAAGACTGGAAGGGCCTCAAGTCTCCAGTGGACGCTGCCATGGCGGGCAGAATCTACGTCACGCCCTGGAGGTCGTTTCCACGTCGCAATGACTATGTGCATGATCAGCAGTCGGATCAACAGCAAGGCCAGCAGTGGAACCAGCAGTATGGACAGCAGTGGGGTCGGAGGAGGCAAAGCCGCTCACCCTTCTGGGGTTCCATAGCTGAGCGGGGGATGAACATGGGTCAGGGCTTTGCAGAAAGGGGGATGGAAATGGGTTTGAGGATGGCAGAGAGGAGGATGGAGATGGAGGAGAGGCTCGGACGAGACTGGGACAGAGTGTGGGATCAAGACTGGGACCAGGACAGAAGGAGAGATCGAAACCGCCAGAACAACAGAGGCAACTACGACTCCAGAGATGACAGGGCGTTTTGGGAAAGGCGAAGGGGTCTGCCCATTCAGAGCGTCTACTTCTTTAAAGGAGGTAACACAGCAGAGACAGGTTCATTAGCGGAGAAGTTCAGATTGAGTATGGTCGGGGAAAGCATTTTAACACACTATGGATGGTCCAAATGGAGTCATCACCACATCCTTGCATTGATGTCCAGTGCACACAAAACAAAACTGAGATCAAAAACTTTTACAGTAAAAAGAATTTACAGTAAGTGTTCAAAATGTCAAAAAAAATCAGAACAAGAGTCAAAACCTAAATATATTTAATTTGCAATGGCATAGAACTGATAAAAGCAGCAAAATCTTACATTTGAGAACCAGCAACCTGCAAAATTTCGGCTGTTTTTGTTTGATAAATCACTTTGTAGGAACAGGATATGAGTAATAAGCTGGCAACAACATATCCCATGAGTATTTGCTACTGGCCTATCAAAGCCTCATGGGACCTGAAATCAAATCAAATCCAATTTAACTTTATTAGATAAATGAGGATATTCATTTGGTCAGAGGTAAATAAAACAATGATGAAATCCATGAAAGGAGCGATACCAATGAAAAGCTGTACAACGTCGTCTCAAGGTGCTGCGACCAGTGTGCTCTCCCTGCATACCTGCTGCACCTCTCCTGCCCTCTCTGATCATACACACACGATCCCTCACACACAAAGTCCTGCACTTCTGACCAGAAAATGTAAAAGAGATACAAAGTAAATAAATGTACACCCCGTAGTGGTTGAATAGCCACAAAATAATCACTGTGTTACCTATGTGTATGTTCTAAGGGTGAGTTGGTCAAACCAGTAGAATGTACCCATTTAACCTCAAGAACATGCTTCAGCTTTTTCACACGGACTGATGAAAGAAAACCTCTGTGAGTTGACTTCCAGATGTAGACGGCAGCTGGCAGAGGGGGCAGGAACTCAGTAATTTTTTCAAACGTTCCCCAGCTCTGTCTCGTAACACAAGCCTTATTATAACTAGTTTCACATGTTGTCTATCAGTCCACATGACAGGATGCTTTAAATAACTACGGTTCCCTTTTACGCTCACTTTTTATGTATTCCTGTGCTAACATACAGTACTGGTCTGATTTCTAAATTACCAAACACAAAACTGATTAATAAATTAGTGTTTTGATGAATGCTGACAGTAATGACAACTCCAGACTATTATTGGTTAAGTTTACTGACTGAGACCAAGTTTTGATTTTCACAATGACATGCCCAGCAGCACATCCACAGTTTGCTCAAATAAAACATTACAAAAACAACAACATTAATACTTTAACTTTAGACCAAATGAATGACTTTGTTGTTTTATGTGTTTTCTAGATAAATACTACAGAGTGGACCTCAGCACCAAGCGAGTTGACCCTGCCATGCCTCCATATCCCAGATCCATCGCCAAATACTGGCTTGGCTGCTCAGACAACGGTGGAGCAGAGAGGAAGTAGTCTCAAATATTTTAGGTATTTTAATATCATCATTTGGACAAAATTTGTGTATAACATGATTCATTTTCACTCTAACAGGCCGTGTTGGCTGCAAAAAGTGTGTCAAACATGTTCAGTGTAACACACAGCTGCTGATCAACTTTAGCAAATATTGGAGATCAGTGAAAGTCCACACGTTGCTCGTGTTGGTCAAAGTTCAACTGGTTAGTTTTTCTGAACTCTGCAGTTATCTAACATCAGATGACCTACTTTATTAAACACAACTGTTTTTTTTTTTAAATGTTTGCACCAGTTATAAGGTTTTATGTTTTATGCATTCACAGCTTGTCATTTCTTAGTTTCCAGTGTCATAATAATTGAGCAGTTTGTTACATTACATCCATTCAAAGGCAGGAAATCGTTTTGTTTTCTAAGTCATGTATCTACAGAATTCAAATTCTTTATTTTCTCATTATTAATTGTGCACATATATACAGTGATGTGAAAATATAACACACTCAGAGCATGATAGAAAGGGTTACAATCTTGACTACACAGATTTTTCTTTGAGTAAAAGCAAGAAAAAGTCCTAAATTGCAGCTATGTGTTTTTACCAAATGGCAGCATCATGTGACTGTCATTTCAGAGGTCAGGGTACAGTGGCAGTAGGATTCATATTCGAGGACACTTTAACATTAGGTTGTAGACACAAAAATATTTTTACAATTCCATTTTTCTGTCATCTACCGATTGGTACAACACGGCAAAATTTAATACTATGATGGAATGACAGGGCAACCCAATTCAATTTTAGGGGCGTAAAAGAGATGTCCACAGGATGCACTGTGTACTGATTCAGAGCGAGTCACATATTCACAGTGTGTTACAGTCTGTTCTTAGTTGTGTTTTCATGCATGAATAATAAAACATCATCACAGCAGCAAATCTTATTCTCGTGTTTAAAACATATTTGTGCTGAATTAACAACACAGTTCATCATACTGTGAACAGATGCGTTCTTCACAGTTGTAATATTTGTGTCATTTGTTCTTGTCCTCCTGGTACAACCCAGAGGTTCATACAGTACGTGCTTGAATTTCCATAAAAAACTTTCTCCACTCTCCAGTCTTTTTGTCTGTTTATTCCTACTGACTCAAGAAGCAGGCAAAGACCCGGTTATTACAGTACTTGTATTGTACATATACACTTAACATAGCATGCATCACTGTATAAAATAAAAACACTTATTATCACTCAATTGTCCCAATACTCATGTTAATATGAAACTGGAGGTAATGAATGCAATGAGTGGTGTTCTTAGGAGAAATTAGCCAAATACCACACCCGATATTATGTAATCTATATTCCTTAGAGTTCAGGCTAAAGGACCATGTAATTATGTGATCACACATGTCACACATAAATATCAGTCTGTAAGTTGTACTTTTACATAACTGTTAACAATAACACCGTAACTTAAGAATTCACGGTCTCTTAAATCAAAGAGAGTTTGTGTCTGTAACAGTGATAACCTCAGAGAAATAAATATGCATCTGTATTAAGATCAGACCTGCTGATGATGTGGTTAGTCAGAGGTTACGAGTGGTTAATCATGACATTTTCATAGCAGGGTTCATCACTCACACTGACCATTGCTCCTTCGTTGGCAATGACCTCCGTGAGACTTGCAGCATCTCCTGCTGGCCCCACAGTCAGGTAGTTGCTCTCAGTTTGTCCTTTGCTGGAGTCTGGCCTCGAGTTACCCTCAGCCCTCAGCTCTGACCCTGAGTCAGCTGAAGCCACCTCTGGCACGCTCTTCAAAATGGACGACAGTGGCCGTTTGGGAGTGCCGCCCTCTGATGGTGGAGTGTCATTAGCACCTGCTGTGTCAGAGGAGTTGTGGGAAGCATGCTTCCTCCTGATGGGCTTACATACGCCAACCTCCCCTCCAGATGGCCCTCCCTGCTCCCATACAGTCGCCCGAGCTCCAAGCTTTCTCCTGGGTGGTTTGGTAATCCCTTCACCTCCCTTGGATTTGGATTTGCCAGAGTCCTGATCTCTTTGTCTCTGGAGGCTGCCGAGTCTTCGCAGCATGGCCTGAACGGGGCCTTCAGAACTGGTCTCTGATACGGGTCTACCTGCCTTCCCCACCGTCACATACACTGTGGTCACCTTATTTGAGACCCCCACCTGAGCATCAGAGCCTGATGTTGATATCTGGGTCCCTTTATGTGCAGCTGTGTTGGACATAGTCCGTCTTCTTCCTGATGTCCCTGGGACCTGCAAGGTGGCTCTGGATGAGTTTCTGTCTACTTCCTGGCCCCCTGCCTCACAGCCTGACTCCTGGTTATCTGTAGCCTGCACATCCACTTCCTCTTCCCTCTCCTCACCCTCAGCTGCATCCTCATCCCCAGGCCTAGCTACACTTCCCTGACTTTGGAGAGCAGAGAGCATCAAAACCCCCCAGCTGGATTTGGGTTTGTTGCGAGGGACAGCGCCAGGGTCCTGAGCAGAGCCACGCCTCTCCTTGGGGCTGAAGCGGGTGCCTTCTGCAAAAGACACAGAGGGTCGCTTGGACTTAGCGATGCTGGAGGTGCGAGGTATGTTGAAGGGTGAGGTGATGTCCTCGCTGCTGAAGCCAGATGGGTCTAAGAACATGTTACACTTTGAGCTCATCTCCTGGAACTCACCGCCTGCCACTGCTGGGATGTCTGTTAAAGAGATGGACAGATGTAGACGACAAGGGGCCAAGGACATAAATGGGAAGTTTAAAGAAAGAATTTCAAGGCCAGTTTTGCAGTGGGTGGCAGTTCTGCTTATAACCAAAAGAGGGCAATGTAAAGTTTGGTGAAAAGTATCCCTGTACCTACCTTCTCTTGGAGGGACACAGTAGAGCGCTTCTCCCTCCTCCTCATCACTGTCAAAGGATGACCCCTCAGTCACCCAGCCAGAGGACGGAGGCTCGATGAAGCTGTGGTTGAAGGTCAGCTCTGGGTCATGGTGAGATACTGTGTGGTTGGCATAACAAAATAGATTAAATAATATTAGATTCACCTGCATTAATAATGAAAGCAATCCCCACTTTAAATATTTCACCAATCAAAAACACAAAGATGGGGATGTTTTTGAATTAAAAAAGGAAACATTCATAATAAAATATCTTGTTTAATTCCCAAGAGGCTGTATAACAGTAATATACAGTCACATAATTGGTTGCGCAAAGTGATTAAATGCTGACATTTCACATCACTATGCCCTTCAGCAAGTTATGTCAGATCATAATTTGTGCACTCATTCCTCTGCAGAAAATGAAGAAAATAACTGTGTCCACCTTCCCTGCATGAACACGCTTTTCATGAGACTACTTAGTTTATTGTGATTTACAGCATGGTCTATCATGTGCTGTGCTTTGCTGTCCTTACCAGTGACACGAGGCAGACCAGAGGACCAATTAGAGATACAGGGGAGGGCAGCGCTAATGTTTGCCAGGACACTGTAGACGTGATATTTCATCCGAACGGCCAAACCTCCATCAGCCACAGCCGCCCTAGGAGAAAGAAGGTTTATATAGTTTCACAGCATCGCACAGTGCAATAGTTGAGTTTGTGTTGATTGTACAGTTGAACCACACAATTAGAAATCTTTAGAAATATGATCCATTCTTAAAACTTTTATCAGACAGAAACCATTCCAAATAACATAATGTTAAGCCTATTCTATGTAGAGTATCTACATGCTTCTAGACAACTTAAGTGCTTTATTAATTGTATTGATCCTCTCAACTCCTGAATGTGTTTGTACTGTCATCTGATCTGTATGGTTGACCTTGCTGTACTTGTATTTTTGTGAGCGATGGGATATTGTTATTGACCAAGCCTGTCCAAGTGACCTCCAATGAATTTCCACAAGCTTGTGGTCTCACTGGGCACTTGGGCACTGTGGCAATTACTGGAAATACATCACACAGGTAGGCACTTGGCTACTTGTAAAATATATAATAAAGTGTGGGCACTGGGATGGACCCAAAGGTAAGCGAGGTACAGACCTGTCTTTGCCATCAACAGGGGCTCCTCCACAACACAAACAGCAGCAGAGGACAGCTAACAGAACCAGGAGCAAAGGGACCAGCACACCTGCTAGTACAGCACTTCTGCCACCTGATAAAAACACACAAACACAAACACATCATGGATGTATGGATAGATGTATGGATGTATGGATGTATGGATGGATGGATGGATGGATAGATGGATAGATGGATGGATGGACGGATGGACGTACTTACTGTTGGGGCAGACTCCAGTGACTGGGTGGCAGCCGACCCCATCACCACAGTCACAGACAGAGGAACAGTTGAGGCCGAACTGCAGGGCGGGGCAGCTGCTATTACAGCTGGAAAAAAAAGAGAGTCATGTAATTAAAGCACCAAACAAAAAATCCCTTTGTATGAACTCTGAATCATGAACTATTTTAGAACTCAAAAATTAAAGGGACCAGGGCAGAGGTTCTGCATGTTTTAACCTGCTAACCTCAAATTTCATATATTTAACAATAATGATGCTATGATTTATTTGTTTAAATCATACGATTGGTTGGTACCCTTGGTATGAAATCTCCCCTTGTTCAGGTTTAAGAAACAAAAACAAACTCACATTAAACATATCATGTTTGCTTATTTTCTGTCCTCTAGGTTTGACTTAATGAACCAGTCCATGCTTGCAATGCAACTGCATTACTACGAGACGGTAATGTGACCTAAGAAAAAGCAGCCATGTAAATTGAATTATAGTGAGCAACGGGTTAAATAATGCACAAATATTCTGTATGCATCAATGAGTGGTCACACAGCCTAGACTGTACTACCTTACAAAGGCAGGCAACTACAGAAACAGTGAAGTTGAGTAATAACTTGATTTTTCAAGTGTATTTAACACAATCCAACCCCCCATTCTTAAAGACAAGCTGGAAGGGATGGGGGTGGATCCCTGCTTCACATCCTGGATTGCGGATTACCTGACAAGATGACCACAGTACGTCAGGCTGGGTAACTGTGTCTCAGGGACAGTGATGAGCAGCATAGGGGCTACACAGGGGACTGTTCTGGCTCCGTTCCTGTTCACCCTGTATACGGCAGACTTTAAATACAACTCTGAGTCCTGCCACATCCAGAAATACTCGGATGACACAGCTATTGAGGTGCGTATCAGGAACGGGCACGAAGAGGAGTACAGGGATCTGACGATGGCCTTCAGTGAATGGAACAACAAGAACTGCCTCCTTCTGAACACCTCCAAGACCAAGGAGATGGTCATCGACTTTTGGAGGTCTAGGCCCACCCTTCAGCCAGTCAACATCCGAGGGAAGGACATTGAGGTGGTCTACACTTATAAATACCAAGGTGTGCACCTGGACAGTAAACTGGACTGGTCCCTGAACATGGATGCCATCTACCGGAAGGGACAGACCCGGCTCTTTTTCCTCAGGTCACTTTTTATCAGTCAGTGGTGGCCAGTGTACTCTTTTATGCTGCAGTCTGCTGGGGCAGCAGCATGTCTGACATGAACACAAGGAGACTGGACATGCTAGTAAAAAAGGCTGAGTCTGTGCTTGGCAGGAGTCTGGACTCACTCTAGACTGTTGTGGAGAGATGCATGCAATGTAAGATGGAGGTTATCATGGACAATACCAACCACCCTCTCCACAACATTCTGGCAGGACAGAGAAGCAGCTACAACTGCAGCAAACGGCTCATCTCACTGCGCTGCAGAGCAGAGAGGTTCAGGAGATCCTTTGTTCCCACTGCCATCAGGCTATACAACTCAGCCAAAGGAAGTGGACTAATATAATTATTATTGTTTATGCATTATTAGCTGTTTTTATTATTATTATTATTATCAACAATGAGCAATGGACAAATGAATTTCCCCTAGGGGATAAATAAAGTATGTATCTATCTATCTATCTATCTATCTATCTATCTATCT